TGCTGGTAAGGAGGAAAGGTTGGGCATGAGGCCAGTAACCCCATCCTGTAAAATTAAATTTCTCACAGAAACTTCAAGCCACTAGCTTGAAGCCCAATGTTCCACTGGGGAACGTGAAGGGAAAAAATTATACCGTTTGAAGATTGTACACAAGGAGTAAATAAATACCTTGGCATGGAACCTCGCTGAAAATTTTGAACTGTGCATAATAGCATTTTACAGAATAAAGCAATTATTATTGCGATTACTATTGCTATGATTATGATTATTATTATTATAGATACTAGTGCAGTTCAGATATTACTTTTAGTAACCTTCTCAATATATCCATCATTCCTGCAGCTAACGTTGTATCTACTCGAATGCTACTCATAGACCACACCCCCTTATACTAATATAAAATAGCCTAAATGAATGAAAAACAATATATTTTTGTTCACATACATATATATATATACGTTTGTATTCCCCCATATATCCTACCGCAAAATGCCGCTTTGCATATGCAGATCTCTTTGTTACTTTGCAGTCTTATAACTTAAAACCTTCAATTCAAAATATTTAGTTTATTCTCCGAATGACAAATGTAAGAATATTAATGCCAGTATTGCGTAGATCTGTGTTTATCTTTCAGGACAATGTCATAAAAAAGTACACATTACACTTCTAATCAGTTGAATTAAACAAATTTAAATAAATCTTGGCGTTTTTTTTTGAAAGATAAAATGGACACCAGTTCAAACTTATTAAAATATAAATGCTGATAGTTAAATCCTTCAAATATGCAAAGAAAAGACATAAAATACTTTTTAAACTAACCGACTGATAAAGGCATAGAATATGCTATGTTAAATTATTCTGTTTTTTTGTGTTTTGTTTTCAAAAAGTAGTAAGGTGAATGACCTTTAAAATTGAATACGTATTTATTTATTTGTTTAAGTTAGTCAACGAAAATCTATTCAAATGGTGGCGGAAAATATGAAATGCACACACGGAAACACACAAAAAGAAGGGGAAGCAGAGAGAGCAATAAAACAGGTGCACAAAATTATGCATATGAACATAAATAATAGTAAAAAAAAAAAGAGAGGAAACAATAAAGCGAAAGAATGTCGACTACTTTGTAAATGAAAATGATATTCGGATTATTCATAAAGTCTACCTGTATTTGTTTTGTGAAGTAAAGCGTTTGAAAAATGTTAATGGAGTGTTAAAATTACTTATTTACCGGAGAAATATAGTGTTATGTCTTTCTATAGTCGGTTTGTAAGGATTAGTTATATTTTTACGAGTTGATCACGGATTGATATCATTTAGAGAAGTAATGAACAGCTTGCTGTTTCATCCTAGTTTGGGAATCATTGGCAGTACACACCCACCATCGACAGGGTTCGAATCCAGGACGTTCACATTACAAGGCGAGCTGTCTCGTGAACCATTCAGCCACTGGGATCCAATTCTTCAATAGCCAGTTCATGAATTCAAACGTCTAGCAATTCGTCATTTAGCGTGACCACAACCAAAATCGTCGGTGGGCCATCCATCCTGCTTAGTGCTGTTGCATTCAGCTACAGGCAGTTACACCGATTGTTATATCAAAGTCAGACAGGGTTTAAAAGGAGAAACAGATATTTATCGCTATAAAATCAATTTAGAAGTACGTTCTACCTACTCAGCATAATGTAAAAGGTTTGGATTTTTAGGTATTTGTTTGTAGGGGATTTTGTTTGATTGGTTAGAGGATTTCATCATGAGCTAACATCGGTTAAAGAACTATTGTAAAACCTGTATTGGAGTACTGGACAGCTGTTTCGTCCTAGTTTGGGACTCTTCAACACCAGTCTTATATCAGTGAAAATGTCATAGAGAGCATTTCAAATGGGCCATAGCATACTTTTAACGACCACTGTTTTCGTTAGCTCTTCACTCAACATCAGACGGTCGGCCAGGAGGAACTACTGACGATAAACCTTAAGAACAAACCAAGTGGTATTTTACTGTTTAAGAAATGTGATGAGACAGTCACATGACTTCACGCGCCAGGCTAGTGCTGGAGTGCAATCTGAATTAAAAACAACGAGTTGGGCGTTAGTCACACTATGGCTTGGAGGAGATCCTGTTAGGGAGAAATGAGAATTTACGACGAAACGTAGGGCCAGCCAAGGAAGATAGCAGGGAACAGGGTGTAACGGAACCCGAAGAAACAATAAAAATAATAAAATATTTCTCTGAAGCAGGTTGTCTAGTCACAGGGTATTTTTTTGGGAAAATATGTCTTTAAATCAGGTGAATTTTCTCAGATTAGGAGAAACCGCCAAAATACGAAAAATTTTACAGAATATTTTCAGTTTAAGCAATTGATTTTGGCATAGTTACATAATTTCAGTTGGATGATTTAAATATGACTTTTGGACAACATATTCTGCGCCAGGAAAGAGAATTATAGCTTCACATTTCAGACATCAAACTCAGTGAAATACAATAACAACACAGTTATCCAACTGGCCGGTCAGTAGCAATTTTTCTCCCTCATATCAAAATATATTCTGATTTTGGTTATTTTTAAATAAATATGTAATAACAAAAAGGCAGTCTGACAAGAGTTGATCGGCTTTTTCATTGAGTTATTGATCCCAAGCCAGAATTGGAAAAGCAAGACAAGCTTTTATTACTCTCAAGTCTGTGTGGGGGTCAACAACACTCAACATGAAATTGAAAATAAGATCCGGATTTTCAACTCCACTGCGTAGCTAATGCTACTATAAGCATCAGAGACTTGGCACGTTATAAAGAGCATCTCAAAAAACTTCAGACCTCCATTAACAGTTGTCTTCGCTCAAAACCACTCAAGATCAGATGGCCAGAAAAGATCATCAACAGGGATTTATGGCAGTGAGCGAACCAACCAGGAACCGATTGTGAAACAAATAGGCAGGAAGAAATGGAGATGGATTGGCCATACGCTGAGGAAACCCTCCAGTGACAACACTAGACAAGTCATCGCTCGATTGGAACCCTTAAGGGAAGCGGCGAGTTGGTCGTCAGTACAAGGGTGACTTGGAGTAGGATGAAAAAATTGGCAGAAAACCGAATGCTTTGGAGACGTGCAGCTAAAGCCCTATGTTCCTCTAGGAATTAAAGGATATAATAATAATAATAATATTCTGAAGGATAACATTCATCCATAGTTTGCAAGTATCAGACACCGATTATGGATTAATTTATCACGTTGCACTATACTAAAAACTGCTTGAGAACATTCCATGTTCTTAGAAATCAAACATACAATACACTTTAATCAAATATGCAAACCTCAGGTGAAAAATAAGTCTTTCTCATATTTGAAGAACAAGGGCAATGGAACAAAGTACAGTTGGAAAGGTTCACTTCGTGACCAAAAAGGTCCTCAGTACAATCATTAATTAATCTCAAAACCAGGAGGAAATGGCTATCAGATATCAGTTCATAATCAGACTAGAAACCAGCATACACAAATACGCCGATTTGATTCTTGGTACTTAAGAAACCCAAACACTCATTTAGATAAAATAATTTCTTTAACGGTATAACATTTTCATTAGCGTTAGATAAATGATTCTTTCGCGGTTATTCAGGTTATTGGAACCTAGAAATAAGCCTAGATAAGATTAGAACAACAATACGCTCCGTTAAGGCAGTTATTCTGAAAAAGAACGCAACTGGTTGTATACTATGAAAATGAGTCATTAACACATCAGGGTACAACAGAATGAAATCATCTATAAGTATTAGGCTTTGGTATTCGAAAGTTTTTAATTATACAACCAACATCTATGATATATGTGAAACGAATAACTTAACACTAAATCAGGATATATAGAAAAATTTGTCAAAAACCGAGTTTATGACGTAGAATTACATGAAGAATGTTGAGAAGTTTTATTTAATATACAGATATGATATTATTTCCTTGGCTTCCAAGTGGAGCATAGGATTTCAGCAACACATCTTTACTTTGTTCTATTTTCTGCCATCCTCTTCATCTGCATCTACGATCCCCCACAATCTCCTGACTGCTACTCTCACGTACTCCTCCGTGTCACTCTTGTACTGATGACCCACTCTTTGCTTTTTATTTGGAGTGCTCGAAAAGGTATTCAAAAGCATATCTCCACACCAATCAGTTTTCTGCAATCCTCTTAAGCTGGCTTCATGTTTGTCCATAAACTTTCATTCTCTTCTCGTATGATCTCATATGTGTCACACTCAGACCCATATGGAAGTCGTCGTTTCCCAATTGGTTTCTACCCAACTGTCTAACTCAAGTACGCTGTCATTCATAGGTCTCTTCAGTGTGTATCCGATTCATACCGAGTTTCTTCGGATTAGTTGGTTCCTAGAATTTCGGTTTGCTACTTTTTTTCTGACGGACCATCTCATCTCCAGTAAGGAGCCAGCGAGAGTAGCTGTCGATAGATTTTTGCCATGACGCACCAGACTTCTGACCCATATAGAAGAACTGACTTAACATGAGAAATTAACCCTCTCGAAATACTGGAAAATTATTTTCAGCACGACTTTCTCTTCTGATCCAAATAGTTTAATTCCGAATGTCTCATTATCCTTCTAGACAATATCTTCAAAGATTAAATCACCTAGCTCAGAGAATATAGCCATATTAAAATTTTAACACTTGTACATCCTTTCTATTCTTCATCATGGCGTTGGCTTCGGACCCTGCCACTTGTGCTCCAGGGTTTGAATCCCACCCAATGAACGCACTACTAGACCTCACATAGCCGGTAATATGAGAAGAAAAAAATGAGGGAAAATGGCAACCCTCATTTTGTAAAAATAGACAAGTACCACTGCTATCAAGATTTCAAAGCTAAAAGTTGAAGCCTTACGCTCCATTCGGAAGACGGAAAACAAAACATTTTCAAAAATTGAAAATCAAACAGTGGTTCATTACAAATATATAAACATATATGCATATACATATATACATTAACAAAACTTACCGGAAATTACTACATGGGTGTATAATCCATTTACCTTGTTCCCGTTGTCTACGTTTTTCACAAGCTAATGCAACTTTGTTGCCAAACAATTTCAAGGCTAATTTATTATCCGATGGTTGAAAAAATGAGATGAACTGTTCTTTTAGATTATACATTGACCAGGCTCGATCACGTACAATGATCAGATTACTACTATTATTGATACTATTATTAGCATTATTGTTATTATTATTATTACTGTTATTAGTGTTAAGCATATTTATACTATGACGATGTGAGGTAAATCCATCCGATGATAAAGGTTCTTGGATTTCATCAAGGATAGAATTATCTCCACCAATACCCATACAGGTTGTCGCCTCTTCAACTAGCTCTTGACTCTTCGGATCATTTTTATCGTTAGTTACATTTATAGTATATCTACGGGAATTTCGATGATGTAATGAATTATCCAACTGCCTTGATGACGTATAGGGTTTACTCGCTGAGCATGTCTCATTGTTATTATTATTATTACTGATATTACGTGTATAAGAAGTGAGAGAGTTCAAAGTGTTCAATAATCCAACAGAATGATAACGATGACGTAATTTCTCCGCCACCTCTTTAATACTTCCACGTTTCGTTTTTGTCATTTCACAAGATTTAAGCTTTGGAAGAATCTCCTCAGATGACATTTTATTTAAAGAATTTTGAAAGGATTCAGTTTTAGGTTCTGTAAGGCTGTCGAATTCATCTTGTTGTTCTTGTAAAGTTTGTAGCTCCCAGACTTCAGATAAACTTTTCTCAGGTAGATTATCAACAGTGTTAGTTGGTTGAAAAGTTAAATGTTTTCGAGTTATCAACTTTTTATCTGACAGTTTGTCAACAAGTTTATCGGATTCTTTGGAAAAAGACGTCTGGTCGAATCGGTTTTGCATTATCTATACTTTTATTTCCATACAATTAGTGTATATTAAGATTTAAACAAGTTCATGCATAGATGGTGGTTTGGTTGAATTTGGCTCGCTTTGAATGTACTTCATATTTGTTTAAGGAAATCAAACAGTTGTGTCTTTATTCTCATTTTCGCTGAAGTATAATACTTATAAACCTGATAAAAATTTGTATCTTAAAGCGTTTAATATGAACGAATTGAATAAGTAAGTCATAGGTGAATGAATGAATGATCACAATAATCCAATTGAATTTTTAACCAATCAAAATTCAGCTAGGATAAATTTGTTTTGACCATTCCTACTATTTTTAGGCATTTGAAATATGTATTCCTCTTAATTGAATGCTGTTTATTTAATAAATATTTTTCGCTTAGAATTTGTGATATATAATTAACTGAAGAATTTTTATAACATGAGAAATATTTATAATTAGATTAGTATTACTGTTATTATTGTTATAATTTCTATAGTTTTGGTTTGTAAGGATTAGTTATGTTTTACGAGTTGATCACGGATTGATATCAGTTAGAGAACCATTGAAAACCAGGGAGTACTGGACAGCTGCTGTTTCATCCTAGTTTGGGAATCATCGGCAGTACGCACCCACTGGGATTCGAACCCGGGACCTTCCGGTTACAAGGTAAGCTCGTATACCATTCAGCCACTGGGACCCGATTCAATGGCTCGTGAATTCTAACTTCTAGTACTCCCTGGTTTTCAACGGTTCTCTAACTGATATCAATCCATGATCAACCCGTAAAACATAACTAATCCTTACAAACCAAACTATAGAAAGTTGATCTGATGCTCGCTAGTGACTTCCTACAGGTTGGAGTTTCCTGAATTCTAGTGAGAAGTCGTGACCAGTGAGGTCCAATTAGATGTCACGTGTGTGGATGGATGTCCCACCAACGACAATGGTTGGGGTCGCGCTAAATCACGAATTAGTAGAAGTTAGAATTCACGAGCCATTGAATCGGGTCCCAGTGGCTGAATGGTATACGAGCTTGCCTTGTAACCGGAAGGTCCCGGGTTCGAATCCCAGTGGGTGCGTACTGCCGATGAATCCCAAACTAGGATGAAACAGCAGCTGTCCAGTACTCCCTGGTTTTCAATGGTTCTCTAACTGATATCAATCCGTGATCAACCCGTAAAAAATTGTTATTATTATTATTTCCTTTAATTCCTAGAGGAAAATAGGACTTTAGACGTATATCTCCATTGCGTTCGGTTCTCTGCTAAGGTTTTCACCTGTCCACATGCTTTCACTTCCTCTTCACATGACCTCCAACTTGTCATCCTCGCACTGGCCACCAACTCACCGGTTCCTATTCGGGTTCCACTAGAGCAATGGCCTAGCATGTGATGTCACTTGATGGTTTATTTCCTCAAAGTATGGCCACCAATCCACCTCTATTTCTTCCTGCATATTTGTTGCATAATTGGTTCATACCGTGTTGGTTCTCTCATCACCAAAGATCCCTGTTGCTCACATCTGCTGGCTGGCCATCTGATATTGAGTAGTATTGAGCGAAGACAGCTGTTGATTAGAGTCTGTGCAGTTTATTTGAGGTGCTCTTCATGACTCACCACATACAGTATTACTGACTGACTTCACATTCGAGTTGAAAATCCGGATCTTATTTTTCATATTGAGTGTTTTTGACCTCCACAAAGACTTGAGAGAAATTAAGCTTGTCTTGCTTTCCAGATTCTCATGCTTTAATATCTTCATCAGTTCCCTCGGCCTATAGTTGAAACGTTGCCTTTCACGTCGGTAAGTTAAGGAGGTTGGTTCTTTCACATTTCTCTTATTTATGTTGATTGTTGTCTCTTGTTGTTGCTGTTGGCCAGGAATCCTCACCATCACCTCTGTTTTCTCTAAGTTCTCCATGTCCTATCTTCTTCTCGCCGACCATGCACATGGTCCGGGGTTCGAGCCCGCACCGACGCACATCTGATATCTATGGTCGGCCTGCGAAATTTGGGCTACCGATATCCATGCTGAAAATTCCATACCTGTACCAAAAATACAGTGTGGAATCAAGCTGTAAATCAAAAATTAAAAAAAAAATTAAAATTCTTCTACCAACTTGTTGCTTTTCACTTGCATATCTTCTAGTGTATGGGAAATCAGACATATATTATTATTAATACCATTATTAGATGGTTAGAGAACATCGGAAGGAAGCCTAGCCTGATGAAGTGTTCATGTTCGTTATCAGTCACTATTCAGCAAGGCGTATTTGCCATCTTAAAGGAACTCACATTATTTCTGTGAGTAGAACTCGTGAAACTGAGAGCTGTAATCGAAAATGATACTACACGGCTATTCGAGGTTATAATTGACTTCCTGCAATATACAAAGGACTGAACGCATGATACTAATTACTGACTAGTGTGCAATCAAACCAACTTTCATTAATAAATGGAGTGAACTGGACAACGATTTTAAACACCCAAATGTGAGTAAGCTGTTGTTTGATGAAATGATATTAGTTTTTTCAGTTATATATTACCTCCATTATATTCAAGTTTCAGAATAAAAGATGTATAAATGAACAAATTAGGTGGCTATTGGATCATTAATGCTTCCAATAGTAGCAGATATATTTTTGAACAGTTTGGAATATAAAGCTTTTCCGTTATCCAGCTCTACTCTTAGGTTATGGTAGAGATATACGACTGACAAATTCACCGTGCTGTAATCTGAGTATATCTAAGTATTTCACACATATATAATAATAAATTTATTCCACAAAGTATTTTTGATACAAATATGGAAATTTCAGCATGTAGAACAGTATTGTATCCAATATTCTCATTACGTGATATTATTATTATTGTATCCTTTAGTTCCTAGAGGAACATAGGGCTTCAGCTGCGCACCTCCGTTGCCTTCGGTTTTCTGACAACTTTTTCACCCTGCTCCAGGTCTGTCCACATGCTTTCATCTCCTCCTCGCATGACCTCCTCCAAGTCACCCTTGCACTGATGACCAACTCACCGCTTCCCTTTCGGGTTCCAATCGAGCGATGCCTTGTCTAGTGATGTCACTTGATGGTTTCCTCAGCGTATGGCCAATCCATCTCCATTTCTTTCTGCCTATTTGTTTCACAATCGGTTCCTGATTGGTTCGCTCCCAGAGATCCCTGTTGCTGATCTTTTCTGGTCAGCCATCTGATCTTGAGTATTGAGCGGAGACAGCTGTTAATGAAGGTCTGAAGTTTTTTTGAGATGCTCTTTATGACTCTCCAAGTCTCTGATCCGTATAGTAGCACTGACTGACTTCATACTGGAGTTGAAAATCCGGATCTTATTTTTGATGCTGAGTGCTGTTGACCTCCACACAGACTTGAAAGTAATGAAAGCTTGTCTTGCTTTTCCGATTCTGGCTTTGATGTCCTCGTCACTTCCGCCTGTAGTTGAGACGATGCTTCCCAGGTAGGTGAAGGAGGTTGTTTCTTTCATTTTCTTACCATTTATGCTTATTGTGGTCTGTTGGTGTTGTTGATGTTGGCTAGGAATCTTTATCACCTCTGTTTTATCTATGTTCACTTGAAGTCCTATCTTTGATGCTTCTCCTGCCAACTTGTTACTTTTCACTTGCATATCTTCCAGTTTATGGGAAATCAGACATATATCATCGGCGAAATCCAGATCCTCCAAGTTGTTTTTTGTGTCAGTCCATTTTATGCCTGTTCCCTCGTTGGTTGCCGTTGTCTGTCGCATTATCCAATCAATTGCAATCAGGAAGATCATTGGTGATAGTAGACAGCCTTGCCTCACTCCCGTCCTCACTTCGAAGGCCTCCGTAAGTTTCCTGTTGTGGATTACTTGGCATGCAGCATTGTCGTATAGCTGTTGGATGAGATGTATAATTGTCGATGGGACCCCGTAGTAGCGAAGTAGTTTCCAAATGACCTCTCGATCGACGCTGTCGAAGGCCTTTTCAAAGTCGATGAAGTTGAGATAGAGAGGTGACTGCCATTCCAAGCTATGTTCAATGATGATCCGTAGAGTGGTGATTTGATCAATACCTGATTTTTTGTGATATAGCGTTAATTAAACATGGATTTTACATTGATAATAATGTTAAATGAGAATTTTCAAGGATCGGTTTTTTCAAGGAGGAATTTTCTTTGACTGGTTGCAGGATTTCATCATGATCATCACTCGCTCTACTGACAGCGTTCAGTACCCTTCACACGGTAATAAGTTCTTTCTTAATTTCTTCAGAAAAACATTGGATGGAATCATGTAGAATTAGATCTAATTTTTGTCTGCAGTTTATAAATGCACCACTCCTGATTTATGACTCAAATATTTTCAAAGCTGGTAAATATATACTTTGCATAGAATGTTTCGTCTTTTCCTAATAAACTCCATCCGAACATTAATGAAAACAAAACATGTAGTTCAGCGGGGAGTCTCTTTTTCACCCGTGAATTCCATTACTTAGCTGTACAATAGCAATTAAATATATTTACTTATTTTTGTATGTGTGTGTGTGTGTTCATTAGGTTTTTCCGATAAGAATAAATATAAGTTAGGGTTATAGTTGTCAAGGCATTTCAAAAATGTGATGAGTAATCAAATTATTAATACCAGGTCAGAAGGTGAAAACTGGTAAGAAGGTGGTGGTAGTGTGTTATTAGTGTTAATCAACACACAGAAGAAGTTGAATAAGCGTAATACAGTCACGAAATGAGATGAATATTTTGATGAGCGAGTTTTGATTCGGATGCTTATAGGAACATAGCAAACTGTGGAATTATGTAGGAGTTCTAAAAACTACAAATGTTATAAGAAGTTCAAAAACATACGATAAGCACACAAATATCAAATCAGTAGATGTCACACACGGTTGTGACTATGATGGTAGAAGTGGTTGGATGATCATCTTTTGTATGTATGACCCTGGTTTCTCCAAGCGAATGGCTAAGACTTCAGCGATACACAGAGGAGACGAAAGCTTATCGCCTTTGGGAGCTTGTTCTTCCCTTTTTAGATCACTCTGAAGCAGAAGGCGTTTGTTGAAATGGAATAATGACCAGTGTTGGCTGACGAGTTCTTCGATTATTGTACTCCTTATTTAAGCAGTATTACTTTTTGTAGGCATTCGGGATAGCGTTCTTGAACACTTTGCGACAGGATACGCGTCGAACGACTGAAGTACCTGGCACCA